CACATAGTGGCTTTTGTTGAACCATGACTGAGAAGTCAATGAGAATAAGCGAGATAATTTCCAGTATCCTGGTCCTCCAGTTTGGGCGTCCAACTCTAATTAGCGTCTCATTCGATAAAACGTGTTAGAGGAGTAATTGATCCAAGTTAATTGGCCTCCACTCCGATTTACTCGCTGTCTTGCGGTTACGTTCTTGTCAAGACTAAATGCTTTGGTGGAGAACCCTAATTGTTCCCCTGCTTAGTGATTGGACTCCCTCGCAGCACTCGTACATTAAGCACCAATGAACACAGACCTAAGCAATTTTATACTCCATCGGTCTTCGCGCAGGATAATGAGGACCATTGCGTCGAGTGTGGTGTCTTGGTCTGATTCCTTGTCTTCCGTACCCAACCTTCTCTCTTTATCCCTGTCGATCCGTTACATCCCACCAGCCAACTTATTCGTCAGTCGCCAAAGGTCGTTACCGAATAGCACTGAATAGTTTACCAGAGAGAGCCTCTTTCGTTCCACAATAGAGACCAGATGAAGCTCAGTCCCACAAAGCCAGCTGCTTGGTCACCTAGCTTCCTTCCTTCTATCCTCACCCGCCCATGGAGAGGCGACTCCAGCAAATAAACACGGTGAGGGGCAGTTTGTCGGTCGAAACCCCCCCGCTAGATGGACGTAGGAGTGGGATACCTGGGGCTTCCTCTCGACGGTGGGAGAAGTCTTCGCACTTCATTGGACAGCGTGCCCCCCTCAAGCCGGGCAGCCCCCAGTCAATAAAGTGCTGTCCCGTCCACGTTCCGCTTATGTCATTGGGTGCATGAGGCTAAAGGCCGATCCCGAAAGGCGGACCGATAATCAACAGGCCAGCGAACAAAACAACCGATAGAAATTCAACGGCCTTGCGTGACAGGTCTCCAGAAGCTTCGTTCATGCTCCCGCGTTGGATTTACGCCCCACTGCCTTGTGGGTCAGACTTTTGAGTCAAAGGCTCGGATTAGGGTTCCCAAAGAAAAACGCCTTCGTCGGTGTGGGCTACCGCGAAGTATGTCGTGCCCTAAAGTCTTAGGCACCCATTTGAAAAACCCTTCTTCCCATCTGTCTAATTCTTCCTCTCAATCCCGAATAATACCCAACACCTGCTGTTTACAAGACCCATCGGATATCACTCAGCGTTTTACCAACAAGTCCAAAAATATCAGAAGTTACAGGATTTTTGAAGCCGAAATTCCCTTTTCACTTAGCCGCGTTTAATGTCCGCACACTCTAGCAGATGGGTCAACAAGCTACATTGGCTAGAACCCTTGAAACTTTCAATTTAGATGAATGTTGGGTCTCCGAAGCACACATACAAGACCCTACTTTCATTATCTCTCTGCGTTCTCCTGATCCAACCTCAACCTCACGCTTCACCCTCCGTGTGTCAGGTGATTCGGCGTCCGAAACTCGCGGTGTTGCTTGTGTCGGGATTGCGCTACGTACTAAGGCTAAAGGCTCGCTTCTCGATTGGATTCCAGTCAGTAGCCGACTGTGGGCCGTACGTCTGAACGGTTCAGCGCGGGTCAACAGGTACAGAACGAAGCGTCTATGTCTATTCATCTATGCACCGACGGATTGCAGTACACCTGAAATCGAGGATGAATTCTACAAGGACCTTTCTTGATTACTCCAAAGCGTTCGTTCAACGGATATCGTGGTAATCGCCGGAGACTTCAATGCCCAAGTGGGTCCCCTAGACAAATCAGAAAGGCTTCTTGGCGGACTACATGCAATCCCAGCCAACCGGACGGACAAAGGAGATCGCCTACTTCAATTCTGTGCCGACCAAGGACTGTTCCTGTCAAGCACAAACTTCTCGCGCAAGAAACGTCACCGTCTTACATGGAGACCGCCAACCTCTTCACAGCGCTGGACCCAAATCGACCACATCGCTATCAGTTACCGCTGGAGAGGATCAATTCAAGACTGCCACTTTTACTGGTCAACACCTGTTGACCACGCTTTGCTAGGAGCCGAATTCTCCTTACGCCTGGCAAACAACCGCAAAAAAGCTACCGAAAATGGATACCTACGATACAAGGTCAGCGATTGTTTTAAGTCGGCCTTCGAAGTAGAAATCTCCGACCGCCTGTCAGTTCAACCACCAGCCGAAGGACTCAATAAACACTGGAAACAAATCAAGGAAGCTATGCAAATATCAATAAAAACCACGTCAGACCCTCACGCAGGCTCGAAACATAAACGATGGATCTCATTGACCTCGATTGCCCTGCTGGACGCCCGCAGAACCCTTCGTCCGGATGCCGCATATGACAGCGCGCAAATCCCTCGAACGCCAGCTCATCAAGAGTCTGAGGAATGACCGCGACAAGTGGTGGATAGGAAAGTGTAGAGAGATGAAGAAGGCTGCGGCTATTGATAATAGTCGTAATCTTTTCCGTCTAATGAGGAATACGGGTCCTAGGAAAATAAGCGTAAGTGAAATGGTTAAGGAGTCCAATGGCACATTGATTCACGATCAGCTACACCGTCTTGATCGATGGGCTGAACATTTCAAGGCTCGGTTCAACTGGCCCCCGTCGACATCTAAACTGTCACTCTCCACTGCGACTGCGCAAATTCTGCCAGTCGATGCCAGTCCTCCACCTGAAATGGAGGTTTCCCGGGAAATAAGCTACCTCAAAAGACAAAGCCTCAGACCCAGACGGGCTCTCCCCATCCATTTTTAAGGATGTAGGTTCAGCCTTGGTTTTGGAGTTAACTAAACTCCGGGGCTCAGTGTGGGACGGGGAAACAGTTCCAACTAAATGGTGTGAATCGGTGATCATACCGATTTACAAGAAAGGTGACAGATCCTCTTGTAAAACCACAGAGGAGTTAGTTTAATCAACATTGTTTCTAAACTTCTCGTTGGCATCATACTCCGCCGATTGTCTGCCGCACGCGAACGGTGCACGCGTGAGAACCAGGCTGGTTTTAGACCCGGTCGAGGTTGTATCGACCACATCTTCACTCTTCGCCAAATTCTGGATCACCGGCATTCTTTTCGTAGACCAACCATCTCTGTCTTCCTAGATCTGAAAGGGGCTTTCGACTCTAAACTCTGACGCTGCCTTTCTCTGAAATGTGTGCCCGAGAGGTTTATTTCAGTATTACGATCCCTCTTTACTCATAACCGAGGACGAGTCCGAGCTTACGGCACGTTTTCACCCGAGTTCACCACAGAAAGTGGTGTTCGTCAAGGTTGCCCTCTCTCTCTATTTCTAATTAACTTTGTTATAGATCCGATTATGGAACCAGCCCTATCCTCATGCGAAGGTAGTGGCATCGATTTACCCCCAGGTGGTAGGCTGTCTGATCTAGAGTATGCAGACGATATTGTGCTACCAAGTGAAGATCCAGATAAGTGACAAGCTTTTCTGGAAAGTTTGAGTGCTAGTGTGTCCATGTTTGGTATGCGTTTTGCACCTTCAAAGTGTGAAGTCTACAAGACTGGGTTAGTCCAGCACCGAGCCTCACTCTAACTGGAGAAGGAATAGAGCAGGTGGATAAGTTTTGTTATCTGGGCAGCCACATCTCACCCGGTGGACGCATCACGAATGAAGTGTCAGCTCGCATGCAGAAGGCTCCGTTGGCATTTGCCAACTTGAGACATCTTTCGCGCTGTCGTGACATCCGGCTGTCTGTGGAGAGCCGAGTGTATGCCTCGGCAGTTCGGTCAGTTCTGCTATATGAAGCAGAAACTTGGCCATTAAGAAAACAAGATAAAGATAGACTGTCGGTGTTTGAAC